TGTTTTGTTGAAACTCGGATCTTTCTCCTCTCTTGTTTTGGGACCAAATTTAGCCTTAAATCGTTACTACTTTCCCAAGCAAATGAAAATCCATATTGTTCTATTGTCCTTTGTGCTCTCCTGATGAAATCTGTCAAACAAAATACTTTTTAAATTGTTTGTGAACTTATACTTCTTTCTGTTGCTATTATGTGTTTCATTGTGCTGATGCGTGGTCCCTGCTTCATGGAAAACCAAAAAAATACACGCTCTCTGCCTTTGAGAAATTGCATTCGGACCATAAGATACACTTGAAAAAATGAGAGCGATAACAAAAGGGAAGAGACAGAAATGTAGCAAGACGGTTTTGCTTTACAGACAATTAGATTTTATTTACGATTTTAGCTAGTTCTTTATGGATGGAATTCATCTCACTACAGTTTAGCTGCTTAAAATACAGGCATCTGGTCTGAGCCAGGGAATTGGGCTTCCCAGAACTGGAAGAAAGCCAGAGATATCTCCAAAGAGTGATTTTTCTCTTTAAGGGAGGTATTGAAAGTAGGTGAGAGGACAGGGCCTCTGGGAGTCACTGTCCTTCTCCATTGACTCTACAGGAAGTCCAGATCATTAGTTTAAATTATACACTTATTTTTCACATCTCAAGAATAATCCCATGCTCAAATAATTTTATTGCTTATCAAAAGTTGTCAGGAAAGATTAAAAATAATTCTGCTTTTATGTAATTTTTCACACTTTCATTAAAAGAAAACCACATTTTTCACTTCTTAATTTTGGAGTTTGGGGAGTTTCCTTTTTTTGTTGAAATCCTCCCAGATATGGAAAAAAGGTGGAAAAAAAAATTCCACTTACCCAAAGACTTTTTTTTTTTTTTTAACATATTCATCGGACAATCTTTGTGCGATCCGAAGAAGAAAGCTGCTACCTGCAAGGGCCAGTGCTGCCTGCCCACTCAGCCTGGGACCACGCTGTTAACTGTGGCTGGTACACACAAGCTTCCACTAAGATGTACCTGACTTTTTAGCATCGACTTGGGTCACCCCTTTGGGAGCTTCAGTAAGAGCTCCCAAACTGGCCGAAACCTCCGATCTGCCAGTGAGGGTGAAAGCCCAAGGGGCAGCAGAACCCGGATGCAGCCTCCTCGGTTCCCTCCCAAGGGCTTCATGCAATATCAGGAGCTCAGTGCCTGGTGGTACAGAGTTTGTCCCGTTCAGACTTTTGATATCACATTCACAACATTAATGCAATGCTGTTAGGGTGTTTTGAAAGCCCAGCAGCCCTGCTTCTACTCGTTTCCTCTTTCCTCACGGCTGGTTGGTGTCTGTGTACGTATACTGAAGTGCTAGCCATTTCTGTCCTTTATACGCATTAAGGATATGCCTTGGGCCTAAGAATGACAACCCATGGACCTGCGATGACTTGAAAAATCATGAACTAGAGCTGTCTACCCTCCAGCCAACAGTGGGACGAGTGATGCATTATAAATCCAGATCCTTCTACCAGTGGAGAGATTAAAGAAGCAAGAAAGAAGTTTCTTAATCCCTGCCTCGAGCAGTTTAAAACCTCCTTCTTGTTTGGGACCCTACAATAAATCAAAACACAGGACTTGCTATATTCTGCAAATAAATCTTTCTTGATGCTCGTTTCTCACATAACTTCTCAGTAACAAAATCTGATTTCTTTACCAAATATGCTAATAAAACATCAAACATTTTATAATTTAGTAGCATTTTTTCCTGTCATATGCTATTCACTGATTGTGCAGTGTAAGCAGTGCACAGTGTAAGCATCCTTCTTGCACAAAAAGTCAAATTAATATTTTATCATGTAATCTTTTTATTTCTTAATATTGAAACCCACTAAATATAAACTGTCTGTACAACAATAAATCGTATATGAATACAAACAAAATGCAGAATAAATTACCTTGAAAAAAGTCTCCTACAAGTAATTTCCACAGGCACTGAGGAAAATAATTTCCAAAGTATATGAATTGCTTCTACTAGACTGAATGATCATAGCAACAGCAGAGGACGTTTAGTACTGCACGTTATTATAGAATTAAAGAACATGTGTCTGGTAATCTCTGAAAGAGTAGGAACTACCAAAATAAAAGCGGTCGTTAGCTTATAAAATGCACGTTTTGCACATTTAGAAAAACCTTCTCTTTGAGGATGTGATGATACTTTACATGAATCATGAATTAAGACTTATAAGCAGTTGTAGGAGAAGTGATATGCAAATAGATGAAAACTAAAAATGTCAAAAGCACCTCTGCCTGTTGGGCGTTTGAGAAGCCAGTGTAGCCGAGATGGCCTGCTGTTCTCTAGGCTGGAATCAGTGTGTCACAGGTTTTAGCCAAGACGTCAAAACCCGACGGCCACCTTTGAAAGCGAGCCTGCAAATGCCTTCTCTGAGCTCCTCAGAAAGTTGACCTGTTTCCCATGACTACAGTTTCCCTTTGAGACCATCCTTCCCCTTATTTGCGGTGGGAGAGCATGTCTAGGAGAAGCTCGTGCTGATATTCAGAGCTGTCGCTGTACCTGGCGTTGCTGTATCGTCCTTAGCTTTAAACTGAAAAAACTTGTGCTCACAGCAGTGGCCCAGAGCTAGAGCCACTTTGAAGCTCCCTCGATATGTGCACATGAGCTTTGATCACAGCTTTCAGCTGGGCATATTTACAGTCATCTCAAAGCCAAAATCAGTCCTTTCAGACAGTTCGCACCTCTGCTACCAGAGCGTGCTCCTGTTACAACTGCCCTAACCTTGTTCAGTTAAACCACTGCTGTGAAACTTTTGATGTTAATTAGACAGAAATACTTTGACCTTTGGGTGCAAAATGGAACAATTAAACAGTTATTTAATGAAACAACAATTAATGGGTTGTTTGCCAGCATTTTAAGAATCCCAGTCTCCTTTTTTAAACCACATGAACTTTTTCTGCCATGAACTTACCTGTCACAGTTTTCTTTCACTGCATGTATTTGCTAAGGCCAAAAGCGCCAGTAGAATGACTTCACAAATCAACCCTTTGGCAGGTTGCAGGCCAAGTCTCATTCTCACCTCCACCTTGGTGCCTGGGGCGAAGAGCTCGCTTTTTCAGCTGAAGTGCACAGGTATGTCTTTACTTGCTCCCCTCATTTTGCTGTATTCATTTCTAGAAGACGCACTTGGCTGTCTGAAATACAGGTAAGACCTCTTCGGTGTTTCGCTTTCCTGCAATTGAACTAAAGTATTTTGGTTTTGCTGGGCACTGTTTATCTGTTAAAATGAATTATGTTTAAAGAATATAATTGATATTATATTCTTCGAATGTAACAGGGTTAGATAGGGTGGGGAGTGGCACATGTAACTACCAAAACGGATAAATTACTCTTACTGTGGATACCTGTATTTTAGGATAGCGCTGTTACAAGGCTTGCAGTTAGAGTCATCTCTGAGTCTCTCCATTACTCTGATGTAGTGTAAAATTTAAAATCCAACTCAGCAGGAGAAAGTTTCCTCAGTTGTGCCTTGGACTTTGGATCTGCTGCCAACTCTCTGTGTCACTGGGGAGCAGAGGCAGAGCTGCACCGATTCTCGCCCGCTTCCCCCAGCAGCACTCCAGTGTCTACGGGGCTGTTGCAAATTAAAGGAATTAAAGTAGTGCAAAAGGCTGGTGGCTTTTGATAGTTTTCCCTGACTATGATTGCCAAAATAGCCATGTAGGTATGGCTATTGTATGTACGTACTGTATGCAGCAAAGTGAACCAAACCTACGTGGAGCCTGTAAAATCTTAAATACATCGAACGCCTTTACCTCTGTGAATAGTTCCCCCTGCTCCAGCACCCTGGAGTAATGTGAGTAGTTCCACCTGCTCCGACACCATGGGGTATTTCACCTTCACTCCTGCAGCAGAGCAAGGGTGGTATTCACGTGGAGACCTAGAGCAGAGCAGGGAAGCAGCATGTCTGCAAGCACCCTGGTGCGGTGCCCCCGCGGGAGCCGGGGCTGCCGCTGTCTAGGGGGACAAGGACCAGCTGGCTGCGTTTTGGGGGCTCTGCCCGTTGGCAAACAGAGCAGCATGATGCTGGGTCACCTGTTATATCTGTGGCTCCCTTCTGTTTTTCCAGGAGACCCTCTGTGTTGACAAGTCTTATTTTGCTCTTTGTGGGTAGTGAGAGGAGGGACTTGAAGTAAATGCCACGATGAACCTCCCTTGCGTTCCAGCTGAGATCTCCTCCGTACACATCTTTTGCCTTGATTTTAACATTTTTCTGCACAGCACTTGAAGATACAGTTACAATGTTACAGTCTCTGGCAAGACTAAAATCCATAGCACCTAACTTCAGGCGTTTATCTGTAGCATCTATATTAGGAGCTCAGGCTCTGTTCTAAGTCAATGAAAAGAAACGAGAACCTCCAGAGAATGAGTCAGATCTCTGCATACAAACAGCTCTGCTGAATCTGGTTAGGATTAAATAGGTTATATTCAAATACTACGATATTTTTGCTGATGGCATTTTGTTTTTATTTTAACCCAAGTGCAAATATGTTTTTTTGATCTTCTCCAAAAGCAGTTCTGAGGTGTCCCTCTGCTTTGATCTAGTTTTCAATGATGAAAATTCTATCATGAGAAATTTTTACCAGAAGAAAATCAAAGCCAGGCTTTTCTTTTAATTTTTGTATTACGGTTCTGTCACTTTGTGCAAAGATAGCTCTGAGTAAGCCTGTGTGCACGAGTGCCTTGGTGAGCCTGGGCCCTGAGTGACCCTCCAGTTCTTCTCTTACAGCGATACCAGTTTGAGTTTCACACCAAAGCATGAGGCTTGAGCTGCCCATTCTTCTACACCTTAGTAAGTACAAATCTTACATTTATTCTGGCTAATTTGGAAATACTACCGCGCGATTTACATATGTCTCCGAGTTTTTCGTAGAGTACTTTTTTTATATACGCTGTTAAGATACACAAGAGTTCCACAATCTCCTGTCCAGGAGCTATGAGTCTGATATGGAACCTTTACGTACAAAGAAAAGATACCCATTGTAACTAAGTTTGTATCATTCCCTAAAAGGGGCAATGTGTTGTGGATCTGGAAAATAAAAAAAGGGCAAGTTAACCAAACATATGCGTTGCTTTATACTCAAAGAATCAAGTTTCACTGATTGTCCAAAGTACAGCCTGCTGCATAAATTGAAATCTCACTGTTGTTGCAGTTCCCACAAATATTCTTCATCAACATGATGTATTTACTGCTGTAATTGCATTAATGTTTCTAGCGTTCCTCTGGGATCTTCATGTATTGATTTCACTTTTTTAACTGCACTTCATATAACAAGTTGAGCCAAGCAAAACAGAACAGATAAAGCCTCCAAGGTACCCATTCCTGTTCAGGGTTTCAGGACGGAACTTGTTTAAAAGGACAAGCCCTGTAAGAGAAGTCCTAACATAATGAAAAAAATATATTTAAAGACATTTCAGGCAAAACAAAAGAACTTGCAATTATTTACTGAATTCTGAATGACGTTCTTCAATTACTAATGTCTGTCCCATGGTTCTGTATGGAGGGTTCTGAAACCACACCATGAGGTTCCTTTGAAATCGCTAGATAATGTGAGGGAGCCCTGACTTGATCTTGATCTCAGTTATACCAAGGCAGACTTGGAGAACTCAGCAGAAATCAGCAGAATGAAATCAGTGTGCCTCTGCTCATGAAGGCAATTGCAACACCTGTGATTCTGCTGCAGTAGTGATGGGTATACCAGGACAGGAAGCACAATAAATTACTACTCCTAGCAGATTAGCATGTTTACTGCACAAAGAAGTGCTGAGGATTAAAGCTTTAGGAAAAATTGCGATATGTTAGCTATTTTTTTTTTAATAATGATTTTATAGCAGATGCATTCATTAGTGAAGCTCTTCAAAATTCTGCCACGTGATTTTATTAAGGACAAAAGGAAGGTAGACGAAAGATAATTTATTTTTCCACTGGTGTTACAATGTAACTGATTTTCTCTGGAGAATACTGCCGAGCATACGAAACAATTTTGTCTATTTTTGATCTTCGTTTGTGCTCAGTGCTGATAAGACTCCAGCATGCACAGGATGCCTGTGATACTGGTTCTTGCCACCCAGCCATTGGAGACCTCCTGCTGGGTCGCAGCAAGCAGCTAACAGCCTCGTCAACTTGCGGGATGGACGGCCCTCAGAAGTACTGCATCATAGGCTATCTTGAGGTTGGTTTATTCTTTTCCTTTTTTAATAAACTAAACTTTGCTTACTAAGAATATTCTCATCTATAAAAGGAAATTGCCTGGACTAGGACATTTCTATTGAAGTTGTTTGAATAATCATCAGACAGCATGACATAAGCCTGGTGGAAGTCTACATCTTACTGCAGCACAGATGGAGAGTTTGGCAGTAAACAGCAAACAGCCTTCAAAGCGATATATAGTTTCTCAAGAGAGAGAAACATCAGCGAGACGCAAATGAGCACAGGGACTTCTGTGGGAGCTTTGCTCTGCAAGTCGTTGTCCTGCTCAGAGGCCTCAAAGATAAGGACCACAGTATACATGCGTATTAGTGTTTGGCAGGATGACTGTGGTTCTGGAGGCCGTAGGCACTATCTCGTCCGGCCTTCGCTGGGGGACACTTCCCACGTTGTGCTGACACCTGAGGCAGCCTGTTAGAGATTCAAACCCCATCCACTCATGTGGTTTGATCTAAAATGAGACCTATGTGGACAAAAGCAGAAAGCCATCTCTGACAAAGGGAAGACCTTACAGTATGCTGCGTGGTGTGGCTGTGCAGGACCAGTGGCCGCTTCTCCCCTTCTCTCTTCATCCTCTCTTGGAACTGGTACCTTCTTCCCTCCAATTTCCAAACTGGCTCAGTGAAGCTGGGAATGCTTTTCTTCCCGCAGCAGTGGCCTTGGAGTCTCCGCACAACTCCTGGGATGGTTTCCTCACCGGTGATGGGAGACCAGACAGCTTGAGTTGGGAGTGCTGGGTCCCAAACATACCAGCTGCGGCCCGTGGGCTTTGTCAGCCATCAGACAGGTCCCTCTCACACCCTGGCTGCCAAGTAAGGAGAGAAATGGGTGTCAGGGCTCTGCTGGTCCAGCCAACGTGTGGAAACACCAGCAGAGATAAAGGGGAATTCCCCTTTCTGAAGTCCTGGAGGACTTGGCCTTTCTAAGCTAATAAATCTACGCAAGCAGAAATATTTTTTCACTAAATATCAGCTGTAGGCTGGTTAGGAAGTTAATAATATACTGCTTATTTTATAAGCAATTGAAAACAATTACAATTTATCACCTTCCAGCATTATGCTGTGACACATTTATAGTTTAATGCTCTGCGGTACTGAGGCGGCCCTGAGCTCTGCTTGGAGTCGCTCATGGCAAATATGTTTTTCTGGAAAATGTAAATGCCTCTTTCTTCTTCCCAAAGAGCCTATGAGCCACTCTTCAGCTTTTGCAGTTTTCCCCCCACGTTGTTTGAATAAATGGGACTCCAGCACTTACTCATAAGCTCTGAGCGTAGGCACTGCTTGGGATATAGGGGCACAAAAAGCCGTCTCAGGGACATCATGTTTCTGGCCCTTAGCTGTATGACTACCTTTTCTTTTTTTAACAGGAGATCAAAGAGTAATACATAATTAATATTTTCGCTTGCGTGTACTTAGCCTTTGAATTATGTAAATACAGGGTCATGAAAATGAACCACTGTTCCTGAGATAATCCATGTGATTTAATGCTGCTTCAGTGTAGCTTGACCCCTCTGGTGACCATCTCCTGAAGAAGGTGAGAGTTACAAATTTTGCTGCTTTACAGAGCTCAAGAGATAGAGGCTTATGTTGTGGCAATTCAGTCTGCTACACTAGCTCCCCATAAATGTGTGTGTAACTTAAAGTCTATTAGAAAGTTCCACTAGAATCAGTTCTTTCTCTCACCAGCACATTCTTGACTGCTCTGCTGGAGGGAGGCCAGGAAGCTTAGCATCTTACAAAGTCGAGCTCTTTCCCCCAAAATTCCCCTCCTGATGACCTGTGTCAAGCATCATGACAAGAACAAACCTTATTTGCAAAAGTATGCATTAGTAAACATGACGAGCTGCCAAAAATCAGAACTTAGGATGTTTTATTGAAAATTCAGACTGAAAAATCCAGAGTTCAACTTCTTTGTGTTTGAAAAGAAACACGGTAATTATTTGCACTCTTATTTAGAATAGCGTGTCCATTTGTTTCTAAACATGTTCAGTGGATTTTAGCCCTATGATTGCATTTATTACTTACACACATTCTGAAAGGAAAACAAAGAAAATGCAGTATTGAAGAAAGCATAAGGCTGCACACTTCAGAGACAAGTGGAATCTGGCAAACTTGCATTACGTGGACGTGTATATGCTTGTCATTTGGGGCGCAAAAAGATTTTTACTTGAACATAAGTTGAATGAGTGTCATATTATATGTGTCTATATAAACCAGAAGGTGGGTGTGTGCAGTCCTGCCAGGTGCTTGGATAACTTGAGCTCTCCTTACCAGAGTTTTGTGAAATCAGGTGACTGGGTATTTTTTGTATTTCTGTCTCATCTCACAAATTGACACATTCATCACATGCATGAGTCAAATACTCTGTAGAATGGCTGAATACAATATATATTTATCCTAATGAAACATGAAATATAACACACCTGTGAATCTATTCATGTTTATTTATTGAAACATGAATAATTCCCAGATGATTTCAGAATGTAAAGATGTGCAAACCATGCTTAATATTTCTCTGTACCTCTTGAGCATGATGCATGGCTGGAGCATCTCTGCCAGTCCCATTCTAGTTTGGTCCCCCTGACATCTCAGCCAAAGGCACTGAACCTGTGCCTCCTCTTTCACCTGCCTTTAGGGTAGTGTGTTATACCCTCTTGTTCCTGATGTCATCTCCCCTCTTGACTCCCCTGGCAATCTCCTCCTGTCCTTTCTTCCCTTCAGAGCACTCGCTGAAGGATCCTCCTCTCTCTGTCTCAGCAGGGGTTCTTCTGCTATCTTGAGGGTCCTGTGCAAACTAGCATTTCAGCGTGTCTCTCTGACATGTCTTTGTCTGTAAAGAGATCAGATACCTTATCTAGATGTTCTTTCTTGTTAGGTGTAGCCAAAATAAAATTCTTATTCTTCTGCTCTGAGGTTTTTTCTTTCAATCACATTTAGACAATATTGCCATTATACCTGTCAGTCAGGCATAGAACTTGGGCATCACCTTTGACTTCCGCTTCTCCGTAGGTCCTCACAGCCGGACTATGCCTACAACTTGTAGAGTCTCTCTGCGTTGCACGTTGGAGTGGCAGCCAGCCATCTCCCTTCTCAGTTACGGCATTACCCTTCCCCAGGGCACCGTCGGGAGCAATCACATTCTGCTTGTACTCATTCTTAGTGTGAGGACAGATGATTTTCCAGTCTGGCATTTTAACCTTGTCACCTCTCCTTACCTTCTCCACTCATTCCTCCTTCCTTATCACCTTAAACTTGAGCTAGTTGCCTTCGCTTTCAAAGCTCTTTGCAGACAGCAGCCTCTCACTCACTGTTGGGATACTGGCTAATCATGCCACCTTCACCATCCGCTTGTTACATTTTCAAACAAATCCTATTACTCTGCTGATGTCCACAAAACAACCTGACTGTCCTCCCTTACTTCACTTTCAAGCTTTTCCCATTCCGCTAGGCCAACAAGAGGCATCGATGGTGGCTGGAGTGAGGGTGTCAGGCAAAATCACCTGCTTGCATACCTACATCTAGCTTTTCCTTCCATTTATAATGTGGTCTGTTTCGTGCTCCCAGCCGGATCTCGGAGGCACCATGGTGACACAGATAAGAGAGAATGTGCAAAAGAGAGAGAGAGAAAAATGTATACGTGATTTCGCAAATGTTCTTTTCCAGAGCTTACTCAGATCTTGAAAGAGCAAGTTGTCCCTCATATCCACTCTGCTATCTCATTCCATTCTCTGGTTGAAAGTTTCTGCAGCCTTTATAAGACGTGAATAAAAACTTACCTTTTTAAAAGTAAATTTCTCCTGAGAAACCCTTGCAAAAGAAACCCTCTGACAGCTAAAATCAGAATCACCACCTTGATGATCTTAGTTCTTTGTTCTTACTAAGATTCCTTCTTCATAACAGAAAACGTGTGGTTTTTATGTGGTGCCTGAGGCAAGGCAAGGCCCTACCACGCCAACACCTATTGTATGCCTGCATTCTTTGTGCATATAATGAATTTGTTCAACTGAGTCAGTGATGTCCTTTGTATATGAAAGCCTGAGTGATTAACGGCAGAGGCGCTCAAAGCAACATGACAGGTTCCAATCTTCAGTCATGTACATATGTGTGTATCCACCAGATCTTTAGAGTTAAAGAGACCAAATTCATCTTTTATCCTGCTTCCTTTGTTTTCTAGGCTGAACAGAAGTGCTTTCTTTGTGATTCCAGACATCCATATAATTCCTATACACAGCACAACAGCCACATGATTGAAAATGTTATCACAACTTTTGAGCCTGATGATAGGAAAAAAAAGTGGTGGCAGTCAGAAAACGGTAAGTTTCTTTGAAAAAAATGTTACTGCATGTGGCTTGATTCACTTATATAATCATTATTCGCTACTATCCCTTTATAAAAAGGTGAGACAAAACTGCATGCCTTCTTTGATTCAGTAGTATTGAATAGATATTTAAAGTAATTTAAACCTTTTCTTTTGTATCCATAGAGGAATTCAGATATTCTGTTTATCTACAGGCAAATTTTAGGTACAATACCTCCAGCAGCTGAGCAGAGGACCTGGGGCAGTGCTTTATTGTATACAGTAGGCATGTATTTTTCATAAAGCATCTGCTTTCCAGTGATGTGGGATTTGTGACAAAAGGTACCTATGCCTACAGATGTATAATGACAGAGTCTGTAAAACAGAAATATCTATTTAAAACAATTAAAGACTGCAGTGTGAAGCACTGATACTTTAGGAAATGCTTAAATAAAGCCTATCTTCATGTGCTAATTTTGTCACAAGTTTCCCTACGGTAGTTCTTCACCGATATCAATTTATATATCATTGCATCTTCTCTCTGAAGGGAGGTCGGGAGGGATGGCGTTTTACTATGTCCTTATCTTACAGATAATAGGTGTATGAAAATATTTTACTAGTGGGAAATTAAGACATGGAAAAAATCAAGATAATATGTAATTTTGTACACTAATTATTTAACCACTGGGTACCCAGCTAGAAATCCATAAGCCTTCTTTTCTTCAGGACGTGTAGCAAAGAACTGTCGCCAGCTTTGGGCACCACTGTCAACAGAGCTGTGGGCCAGCTGTAAGAGGGCCCTTTCTTGCTGTCCCCATCTTTCCCCTGGGACGAGGTCTCACAAAATAGTCTTGTCAGCAGCAGCTTCGGCATGGCGAATGCAGACCTAAACACTGAGGATATATCATCTGACTCTTTACAGAAAATATGTGAATTGTTTTGGGTTTTTTTTTCCATGCTTTTTACAGTTTTGGAAAATGCCTGATGCAATAGCCCCGCTCATGACAAATTTCAAGTCTATGTTTGGCAGTGTAGATCTGTTTAACAGATCTGTTTAACAGGAAGAAAACTCCATGTTTTTATTAGCATCATTCTTAAAAATGAGGAAATACTTTGGATGCAATTAAAAGAAAATCTAACTGGATACCGGAAGGCACAAACCCAGAACCTTACTGTCACCATCCGTTACAGTCTGAATGGTGTGAACGGGATCTTTAAACATCACGTGCAACCTCAATGACACGCAGCATTGCCAAGTCCTACTGCGACAAAGGCAGTGCATCGCATTGCCCTGGAGAGAGGGAGTGAGAGGGAGGGGTCCAGCCCGACGCCAGTTTTGTGCTCGCAGGAATCCCTAAGGATTCCAGCTGCTGGAGGAGAAAAGGCATCTTTACATGTGCCACTGAAAAGCTGTCTCAGCAGCCCCTCCAATGTGCTCTTCATTACGTTTTCACCGTCTTTTCAGGCGTTGACCATGTCAGCATTAGATTGGACCTAGAAACTGTATTCCAGTTCAGCCATCTTATCCTGACTTTTAAGGTAATGTTATACGCCTGTATTTTACCTGAGCTTTCATGTAATTTTATACACTAATTATTTAATCACTGGAATAGATTGCTTAGAGAGGCTGTGGAGTCTCTATCTTTAGCGGTTTGTAAGAACAGGTTAGATAAACACCTGTCAAGAGTGGTTAAGTTATACCTGATCCTGCCTTAAGGGAGTTAGATAGGCTGAATAGTTTCCTCTTTGTGTGCCTTTTAGTCCTATTTTCTACAAATCTGAAAATTAGAGTTGTAAAAAAATTAAATTGCAAAGTTAAGCTCTCCAGATTTAGGAAATGCCAGCACTGAGGTTACTGACTCAAATATAATTCTGTCTTCTCATGCATATCTGTTATGATCCAGACAGTTACAAGTTTTTCGCTACAAAATCCCCATTTTGTTATAGTAAACTTCCTTACTAAAAACTAAGCTCATATTTATGGGGAATATAGCCATTCCCTTTTGCTGAGAGGGCTCAGCTGAGGAATTCTGCTTTTTTATGCGCTTCAGATGGTCTATTTCGGAGACTCGTGTAACCAGCACAGTAACTTCCTAATGAGCCTACAAGCTTACAAGCACAGAATTTTAATTGGCAGCTGTTGGCATCCCCAGTACAGGAATGTCAATATAACAACCCCTGAGATTTGGTATCAACGCCTGGTTAAGGACTTCTCTAAAATAATGTTTCTTATAGACGTTTCGGCCTGCAGCGATGCTGGTTGAACGCTCCGCAGATTTTGGTCAGACCTGGAAAGCATTTAGGTATTTTGCCCAGGATTGTGCAGCTTCTTTTCCCAACATCTCTTCTGGTCCAGCAAAAGGTGTGGGAGACATCATTTGTGATTCAAGATATTCCGACATTGAGCCCTCCACTGACGGCGAGGTATTGCCAAGTATCTGTGTTTATATGAATTCAGACCATACACGGGTATCCTTCTGGAGCCGAGGGGCTCTGTTCTGTATCCATTTGATCCACTTATGTGCATTTTAAGACATGAATTGTTATTGACCTTACTAACTGAGTAAGAGGGGAAGAAAACCACTGCATTTAACTCTCAGTTTCACATCCAAATGAACTCATAAAACAATTTGTACAAAACCTTCTAGTGTTTTTTCCTGGTTTCCAAATTCATATGAAAGTCCCTCCTTACAAGACATCTTGGCTCCCCATGAACCTCTACTGCGATGGCAAGGGGCCTCTGATCCCTTTAGTGGGAGCCAGCTGGCTGCGTTCTCTACATCAAGCTTTTCCCGACACATCACTCCATCAAAGGATCTTTTTGCTTTACTCAGCCAAAGCCACACTGGACGGGGGAGAGCACTTGCTGGATGAGGGCCACAGCCCTGTTTTTCCTTCTGTGGGATCAGTAAAGTGGCATCAGTAATTAGTGGGTCTCAGGTGGCAGATGTTGTATGCCAAAAGAAAAGATTTCCTGATTCTTAGAGATGTATTAACTTTTTTTGCAGGTTGTCTTAAAAGCTTTGGATCCAAGCTTTGAAATAGAAAATCCATATATGCCATATATCCAAGGTATGAACAGCCTGGGTTTTCTCCAGAGACATTTTGCTGATGTTGCTTGTTTTGTGTGCTGAAAGGGTCAAATGTTCAGCAGTGTAAATCAGTGGTGCTGAAAATTAGGTACGTAAAGATCTTGGGGAGGTATTAGTAAATAAAATAAGCCAGCCTTGTTCTTTGGTCTTAAGGGCAAACGGTGTGGCTCTGCACAGCTCACATCCATAGAGATAAATTATCATTCTTCCTGAGGTCAGGGTGGCCTAATCCATACTGCTTTTTCGGAGCAATGCCAGAGCCGTGCATGAACCCACCCAGGTGCTGGCTGGCAAAAGGTCGTTTGACCCAGTCCAGAGCCATGCCAAGGAGGATGCTAACCCTTACACAGCGGTATGCTACAAGTGGGTCTATTCCCTGGCACCATATGGGTTATTAGCCCGGAGGAGCTGGCCAATATCAGGCTATTTTAGTTGGATTGCTTCAGTATGGGGGAATTCCTGGATGATTTATGCAAGCTGAAGATTTGACCCTGTTTATTTTCTGCTGTACATAATTTAAAGTAATTTGGGCTCTTGATTTCTTTTCTTTCCTTCCAGAGCTCATTACTTTGACAAACCTAAGGATAAATTTTACTAAACTCCACACCCTTGGGGATGCTCTGCTTGGAAGGAGGCACAGTGATCCCCTTGAGAAGTATTACTACGCTGTCTATGAGATGGTTGTGCGTGGCAGCTGCTTTTGCAATGGTCACGCCAGCCAGTGTGATCCTATGCAGAGCCTGCGGGGAGATGTTTTCCATCAGTTTGGAATGGTGCGTCATAAAAATCCTCTCCAGCAAGGACAGACCCTATCTGTATTTTGGAGGAAGAAGTGGAGGGAAGGAGAGGAAGGGAGGTCTCTCATGGTCCTTGGATTGATCATATGCAACTCAACACTGTGGAATGTTTCAATACAGCTTCATCCTTTAAAACCCTAGAAAGGATTGCTCAGAATTTGTCCCTTTGTTGGCATTAGTGTGGTGTTTGTAAAGCAACTGAGAGGAGACATGTTGATGATAGCATCAAAATACCAGAGCTGTAATGGTGCAAATATAATGCAGTAAGTAGCGAGTGCTATGTGCAGGCTTGAATGGCTACTCATTGGGCACATTCCTTCGCTGCAGCTGGGCTTGGGGGGGTCTGCAGCAATAAAGGGAGATGTCAGCACAAAGAAAATCTGACAATGCAAAGCTAACCTGTGAAAAATGGCTTATTAAAAAATTGAGGTACATGATCATGAGTTCCTTCCTTTTGGGAACAAGTGTTTTTTTTTTTCCCCTGGAAGATATGTATATCAGTACAAAGACATGCGGGGAGAGAGATGTGGAAATAAAAGTGTTGAAGCCTGTATTGATGTCACTAGAATTTTGGGTTTTTTTTTTTTTCTAAATACTGCACAGCAGCTTTAAAACTGGTTAAAGTTTGTAAGTATTCTCCATACCGTTTACTCAAATAACTGAGAATTTTGTCAGTTGAGGGAGCCAAAGAGCTGTGTTTTCCCTGATATTGCCGGCATACCACAGGCAGAATATTGCTTGAGTATTTTTACAGATGAGAATTTAACGTAGTGTGGGGAACTCAGGAGGGCTTGTAACCACTTTATGAATACAGGTGCAGTACCTGGAATGTCATAATTTGATTTAGGAGTCCTGCTGGAGGCTAGCGGCCATTCTGTAGTGTTGAAACTTGCATCAGTAGAGAAGGAAAAATCATTTTAAACCTGTTACTTAATGGAGGCAATAGAGCCATCAGGAACAGAATATTCCCACTGCCATACTAAAAAATTTGTTCTAAGATGCAAGAACAGCAGAATCTGATTCTATCGTAGTAGAGATTTTGTGTATGGAAAAAGAAAATCTCATTTTGATACACGTGCATCTGTTTCATTTGGGAAGAGAAAGATGCTTTTACTTTCCCCTTCAAATTCCACAGAACTAAAAAGAGCTCTCTTCTATTTTCCCTTCCCTTCCTGCCACCTTGCAGGTCCATGGGAGATGCATCTGCCACCATAACACTGCTGGCACGTCCTGTGAAAGATGTAAAGATTTCTACAATGATGCTCCCTGGAGGCCAGCTGAAGGGGCACAAGATAATGCTTGCAAACGTAAGGGCAACATATGCTCTTCCTTTTTAGCACAAAGGGGGTGGGTGTAGTACAATTCCAGTGCATTGCCTAATGGCATGGCCAGGTTTCTGGGAGGGAATCTCTTTTATGTTCCTTTCTAGAAGCACAGATGGATTCATGCGTCCGTCAGTGCTGAGTTTTCCTACAAGAGAGAGAGTCGTTTCCCATTCTTATTTTTCATGAAGAGAAAAGATAATAAAAACAGGAAAAGGTAACTAATGCAAAAAAGATCGTTCATTGGTTATCATGGGGTCTTTCTTGCAAATGAAAGACAAGGCTGAATTATTTACTTCCACAGTAAAGCATACAAAAACAAAAATAATATATCAACATCTGTAACAAATATTCAGTGAGGTCTTTCTTTGATGAAACAGCGTTTACTGCTGTGTATCAGCTACACTAGTCGGTATGGACATTTTTCCAAGTTTAGGGCCCAGTTTTGCCATGTCTCCAATTACTCTGTGCAGGAATATGTGATAGAATAGTTTATCTTATCGCTCTTTTTTGTCAGCAACCGTGGCTAGGAAGCAAGTTATGTGAACCAAAATTTAGTGCAGAATAATGAATCACTGTTGACACATACATGATATCAAAGCTGCAAAGGTACAAAATCATCGATTTCAGAGATTGCCTTTTTATTGGAAAAGGAGGTATGTTTTCAACCTATGCCTGATCCAGAAAATGTGTGGGTTTGGGTGTGCTTGCCAAGTGCAGCATTGCCAGCTCCCACTAATTTAGAGTAAATCAGGCAGTTTTGGCCCCGCTCCAGGAGCTCCCTGCCTGCAGTGCCCTGCTGAGATCAAACTTCACCAATTTAGTACAACACGGGCTGTTGGCACAGCGTGATAAATGCCCCCTCCAGGTCCTGCTGGCTGCAGATGTTAGCAGGGCCTTCTCCTCCTCTTCCCGGAGACGGTGTCACCAAGCTGCTGTTTTCTGCCAGAGGAGAAGGGAAAGGGGAAGAGTGAGGAGCAGCAGATCCCGACTCCTCTCCCATACCCAGGGGTGGGTCTAGGGTGTTTTACAAGTGGTTGCTGCTGTTCCCTGCAGGTAGGGAAATGGAGACCAAGTGAGGCAGAAGGGTCTTCTCCTTGAGGCAGGATTGGACATTTCCAGAGTTTCTAGCATGGTCTGGCGTTTGGGATTAATGAGGGTGAAATGGCGCCACTCATGCTAACATCAGCCCTGAGTGAGGCGCCTGGAGCCTTTCATTATGTTCCCACTGATGGCTTATTTGACTGCTTGGTTTATGCTTTAAAGCATGCAGATGTACCCAAGTTGACTTCAAAATGTCTCATAACTACCTCCAGTGCAGACTGCTAATTTTTATAGCCAAGAGAATTAGTTCTCTTCACCTTTGTTCTTGCTCCTCCTTCTCTCCAACAGTTCTCCACAGTCGTGTGCTTCAACTTTTTTTTCTAGTAGCCCCTGGCCCTGCCATCATTATGCTCCCCTAGCGCATATAAATCAAATAAAACTTGTTGGCAGCACCAAAGCTATTAAATTTGCTGAATGCAAATATGAGCATCATTGCAGAATCCGGACACTGAATTTACTGGAAAATCTTGGTGATCCCACAGCTGTAAAGCTCTTAATCTAGGAGGCAGTAATCTTGTTGGCATCCCTGGGGCACTAAATATCATGCTAGTAACAGGGAACCCTGTATTAACGGTAGACAGCAATGGTGGCATGATCACAGTAAGACATATGGTGCAAAATATCTCACTGTGTGTTTTTGGTTTCAGAGTGTAAATGCAACGGCCATTCTGACAGATGCCACTTTGACATGACAGTGTACCAGGCCAACGGTGGTGACAGCGGCGGTGTTTGTGAAGACTGTCAGGACAATACCATGGGGCAACACTGTGATCAGTGCAGACTTTTCTTTTACCAGGATCCACTGAAAGTCATCTCAGACCCTCATGCGTGCCTCCGTAAGCTTCCCTTTTTTAGTATCTCTAAGAATGGCTCAGAACAGGATGGCTCCCTACACAGAAATGTTCCATCGCTACACGGAGATGTTAATATAGTTGTAAAAACGTTCACAAACCTATTACAGCCGCACTACCGTATAAAGTAACTGCATAACAGCATCCTTAAACGAGCATTATAAAAGGAGCTGCATACTTTCAACTCATTGCTCAGCTGAGCTTTGAAATCCAACAGAGGTGTCGTCTTTCTTAAACATCAGTATAAATATGCATAGCACTAGTGTTGTTGCTTCTGTGATAGTCATGGATTATAAAAGAGGTGACAAATGATGGAAG